CAGACTGAACCTGCTCTCATCCGAAAAGAGCACACGGCTCCATTCCTCATCGGTCCATTCGCCATGCTCCTGGCACCACCGTAAAGGTCTCGCCACTAGTGCGTTAAATGGCTTGCCCTAAAGTCCTGCTAAACGTTGTTGCAAGAGCCGAAGCCGACTGACGAGGATCTCTTCTTGCCTGCTGCACAATGTAGCGGTCGTCCCTTGGTGTAGTTGTCCTTGGTCGGCTACCTCCTCGTCTTCGGGTAGCAGTACCAAAGGTTCCAAACGCTCTCCATGCACGTGAAACAACGCTGTGAGCGATACCGAACTCCTGGGCTACACTTTTCATGGTTCAACCTTCTTCGAGTTTCCCTATGATCCTCCCTCGGGTGAAGTCATCCAGATGCTCTCTTCGGGACATGATGTATCGAAGGATACTACCACAGTTCTTTGCACCTACTCGTTGATTGAGAAAAAAATTTTTTCATACCCATAGACTGCCTCGATTTGCGCGGTCGGCCATATTTGGCACTTTATTCGAGCTCTTCTTCCACCAAGAGAATTCTAGCTTCCTGTGCATATCCCTTAGGCGAGTGGCAACATGCTGCCACACTTTCATTTACTTCCACCCAGTCATTAGTGTTTTATGCTACTTTATCCATCTCGTCCCTAAGTTTCGCACACCAGTGTACGATATACTCAATTTCGGGCGTACCATCTTTGAAACGATTCTCAGACTCTGTACGGCCCAGGAAATCGGCCACCACGTTAGATGAGCCTTTAAGGGATTCGATTTTCATGTTGTAACTTTGGATTTCTACTGCCCATCGTGCAAGGTTATCGTGAGTTTCATCGTGTCGCAAGAGACAGGTGAGAGACTTATGGTCGGAACAGATACGTGCCAAATCGCCATACATGGTTGCACGGAAAAAACGAAGAGCGCTGATCATCGCAAACAGCTTTGTATACGTAGGACTCCATTTACGTTGAGAGTCAGAGAACGTTTTGCTTAAATAACCTATAGCAGCAAGTTTGGCGGGCTCGTCCTGCTGCTGAAGCAGAGCGGCTACTTTACTACCGTCTGTGTGAAGAAATGAACTCACAGCCTCTTGGAGGTCAAGCATGGCTGGGAGATGAGGGCTTCCTTGATTTGAGGGAAAACCGTCCTTTTTGGTTTTTGAAAGAGGTAGGTACTGCATGGCTTCAATGTTGAGTTCTGCTGGGAGATAAGCTGTACGGATAATCTCGTGACCCAGAAAAGAAACCCTAGGATGGGCAAAGTCAATGAGATTTCTCCCAGATGCTCTGATATCGAAGAGTCGAAAACGCTCGACAACTCTGCGCGGGGAGGCCAGGTGAGAAGGGAAGTCCTTGTCAAAGATGATAATGTCGTCAAGGTAGCGCAAATTTACTCTAGACCTGCGACCAATACAAAATTTGACCATGACGCTGCCAACAAATTTGACGGAGATTCCTGCCATACCAACTGAAGAAGGAACAACACAGGGATCAAGGTCAAATATACCTGAAAGGGCAGGGATGGATTCGCTAGCTACGGTAATGCCGGCACTAGTGTCGATAAGAGTCAACATTCGAAGGTCATTGACCGAGCAACAAAGAACCTATGACCATTGTCTAATGAGAGCACTTGCACAGCAGCTGTAGATGCGCGCAAAGGGCATACGTTTTGCACGTCGATGTCCACTTCAGAGATTCCGAGATGAACGGGATGTGACGGTTGGAGAACTAACATGCGGGACGCTCCTCAGTGATAGGTTGCTCTGGGGCGGCGCTGGCCACGGTGGAGGTGGCTGCTGTAGACGCATAGTTAAACATTCTCTTGGAAAGGAGAATGAGCCCCGTGTAGTTAATACTAATGTAAGTCGCTATATCCGGCTCTCGATGAACTCGGCATAATAGCTAAATATTATTTATCTTTCAACTTCCCACGAGGTTTTTAATTACAGCGAACGGCTACTAAGTACTTTCCTGACCACCTGAAGATGTTACAGTTGACAAATCCTCGGAGGAGCACCATAATTTGGCTTGTGGAAAGTCCATATGTATTGACTATGTCGCCTTTTGAGTGAAAAGATCTGAAATAGCCTCCATAGCGGAAGCATTATTTACGTTTGTGTGAAGAGCTCCTGCGCGAAGGACTCCAGAATATTGTTGGGATAGTGGAGGTCCCTCCCAACAACCTGAAGCGACGTCTCATTTGGAATCGCCTCCACGATCGCACATGTGAAGCAGCGAATCGCCTAGTCTGTCTCACTGGAAGACCCAGAGACTATGCGATTACAGGGGGTCTACAAAATTAGTGCTCAAAATGTGGAGACGAACATATAGGTGAGAAGGTTAGACCACTTTTTGTGCGGGATAGGGACCATTTGGATGGAAAGGCTAGGTTGCGTACCTCGACAGCTCTTGGTTGCCCCAGGGTGGAAAGTCGTAACGGAGAGGATTTTGAGGTCACGATCAACATCCTTACGTATGCAACTCAAACATTCGCGCGAAAAACCCTGGACATTTTGGATCCGGATCACGAATCCAAAAATGAACCGCAGGGGAGAATGCGTGTCGATTGCGCGCGAGCTAACCTCCTGTAATGGGATGGGGAATAAGTTCGTTCGGTTTTTTCACAGAGCTTTATTCAAATAATTTGTTTGCTGCTTGGTAAAACTTTTGCATATAGTGGTAAGTGCTTTTTCTGCTCTACAGAACTGTGTTATTTGTTTATTAGTATAGTTCAATTTTTTTTATTTTTCAAGCTTAGAAATGGAATACCCAGGATGCAAAAATCAGCATTTTTGACACCTATTTTTCTTCGCTTTTCATTGCGGTCAAAAAGCAGCTGAATGTATGAATAAATACATAGGGTTTGGTTTTACATAAGGTTCGGGTTTTCTCTGAAGGGTTCGGCGATCTAGGCTCCGCCCCTTTAATCATGCCCACTTGCTTTTTGCGAAATTTTGATATTTGATCAAAATTTTTGCGCTCTTGGTCTGCTGCGTGAAGTCACTGTGGGAGACTCCGCACCTCTGATGAAACCCCGCCCGCTTTCAAAAATGGTGCAAATCGGCAGTGTATAGTCCTCGCTTGCATGCTAGGTTCTCGTCCGTCGCTCGGAACAAGCTTTGCCTGATTTATCCGAAAACAGTGAAAAAACGAAAAGTGCTGAAAAAAGGGCTGGGCTCCTTCGGTGTGTGCGGAGCCTCCCACATTGGCTCTACTTAGCAGACCAAAAGCGCAAAGTTTTGAAAAACTACAAAAATTTCGCAAAAAGCAAGTGGGCGCGGTCAAGGGGGCGGAGCCTAGATCGCCAAACCTTCTGGAGAAAACTCAAACCCTATGTAAACCTGAACCCTATATATTTATCACAAGCTGCTTCAGCTGCTTTTTGACCGTGATGAAAAGCGAAGAAAAGTAGGTGTCGAAAATGCTGATTTTTGTCTCCTGGGTATTGCATTTCTGAGCCTGAAAAATGAAAAAAATGGAACTATACCATTAAACAAATAACAAACTTTCGAAGAGCAGAAAAAACAGTTTCTACCAGATGCAAACATTTTGCCAAATAACAAACACATCATTTGAATAAAGCTCTTTGAAGAAACCGAACGAACCCATTCCCAACCCAATATAAGGTTAGCCTTCCTACCGGAACCTGGATACGATCACGGGCGGCAAACCACCAGATCGTCGAATACCGGCTGATTCCGTGGTCTCAAAGGTGCGGTACTTGATTTTTCCCATTAACTATGTGATGGACTAGTGAATCTCCAAGGTCTCGTAAGGTATTATGGCATTCGGTCGAATAGATCATAAATTGCTTTCCACTTCCAGGCTCTAAAGAAGGCAATCGTGCCGAAACGTTAGCCGTTCACTGTGTTTAGCAACCTCGCGTGAATTTGGAGGATAAATGTAAGTAATAAGAACAGACTTGACGACACCCGTAGTGACAACCACCTAGCGCAGACCGACCCAGATGTTGAAAGGAGACAGACTCAGAATAACGAAAACGAAAGGAAGCTTGACAATATTGATGAAGTGCTTACGGTGGCGGTTTCGGCGTTGAGGTGCACGGCGGCGATATGTTCGATTTAGCACTCTTTATCCTGAAGTGTCCACATCTAAAGATGACCGTACTACAACTTCATTGAAGCTCGTCACAGTGAGGTCACGGAAGATGGTCAGCTTGGGGCAAGGATAGGGCGACAAGAGAGGAGGAAGAAGGGCTAGATTGGACGTGACTCAAAGGAACTGGCGTCAACAGACCGGCAAAGGGAAGCATTGTAGTAGGGTGGAATTAGCTAAAAGGACCACGGGCTCAGCGTCGGCGCACTCGACGATCGGAGCCTCACCAATTACTCCAGCAGCAAGATTGAGGAAAGCACCATATGGAGCTACCTAGGCGTAATTTCCACAGTAGGATACAAAAGGTGCCATTGGAGGAGAGGTGCGACGCTTGGCTGGATACTAGGATGCAACGATGAATCTGAACAAACCATTACCGATGTGGGTTGCGGTAATGTCCCTGACCGATCAAAACCCGTATGATGAGAGTGGGATTGGTGAGGAGTGCTGAATGAAGAGCTATTGCCAGCACATTCGTACGCTCACACAGGGCTTGAACTGCATGGTGGAAGAGAGCAGTAATAGCGTAGCGTAGTAATAGCAGTAATAGTAATAGAACCCTTCACAACCTGTAACTGGGCAAATATCTGGTTGCAGGTAAATAGCCCTACATCCAATGAACGGGGAACGTGAGGCAAGAAAGCATTGGCATACTCCTGGTTCACCTGTCTACAGCAATGAGGTACCACTGGGCTCTGGCTAGACCAGGAAAAAGCAATTTCTTCAGATTCGCTACTCCATATGTTTCCTATGAGGGAGCTTTTCATCTTCGAAACCAGGATGGAGCCTTACTCTTCCTCTCGATCGGGAGTCTAAATGATAACCGATCCGTCGGAGAGGGTATAGGAGCCATCCTTGTATAAGCAAGAACGCAGATTACTGCCTTATGCGTTGAACAGCAACCGTAGAGAGAAGAGGAACGCGAATTTCAGCTTGTTAGTTGATCGCCAAATTAGGATGCTGGAACATTTCACCGTGAGCGCATTTCTCATGATGGGGCATGAGCTTACATTGCTCCGCAGATACTGGAAGGTGTGCCTCTACGTGGGTCTCGATACGTGCTCCAAACAGGGACAGCATGGGATGTGTCAAATGGCGTGTGGGTACGACCCCCCCCCTTCGAAGAAGGTTCAGACATGACCCCCCCCCCTCCCTGCTCTAACTGACACCAGATGCAATGTTCTGTTGCAACTGTAACAAGAAACAAACTGAAATAGCGGCGATGGTGACATTGATAGGCTGAATTGGTGGAAAAATAACCAACAAGTGAGCGGCTCAGAGCCCAGTATGTGCATTCAATGAATGGTGACGAATGAAATAAGAAAACAATGCACGACACAACAAGCGAAACATGGAAAATACAAAAATGCCAGAGCTAAATAAAAAAAGGATAACCATGCCGGCAGTAAATCGTTCCATACTTGGCTATTATCGATCAGGCTGCAGGCCAAGCTGCGACCGCTTTCTTGGAAAACTCACTGGGAGCGCGGTTGTTGACTTGAAAACGTCCTGGGGCTCTGTTCGGGGGGTTATATCTTTTAGGTACAGAGCTTATTGAGAATGGTGACAGCAATGCAACGGCAAAGTTTCTACTGTTGTGGTATTCTACCCTAGTTGCAAACTGAACAAGCCCCGTTGTGAAATATTCCGGATGGGTTTTGGATAGGCTAGAGGTAAATCGCGAGCTGGTTTCCAATGCTTCACGCGAGGATTGCTTCGTTCAAACGCAATTCATCAGGATTAAAAACGTCCTGAAACCCCTCCACCTTTCTCTTTTCCAACAAGCTTCACGGTTTCTCTGAAGACCCACTAGTTCAGGAATATTTTAGATGTGTTACCCTTGCGCTACCCCCATAGACCACCCGAAAAATTGACTCCTTATGTCCATTGTGAGGATACACCTTCAATGGCCCTCCAACATACATATTTCCCTTCAAAATGAGTGGAAAGGAGCTCGGCTATCACTAATCGGTTTTGTCCGTGCGCCGTGCATTAGGCTCCTATCGGAAGGTGGTGGAAAGGTGTAAATTCTAATTTCAGGGTGCTTTATCCAAATGCAAGGCAGATGTTTTGTTTAGGGTTTGTAAAGGAACAACACGCACGAAATCTGCTTGAGAGCGTATTATTAGTCATCTACGTACTTACGAGTTCATGCTATAAACTGACACTTATTTATTTATTTATTTATTTATTCTTGCCTAAATTGCTAATGAACTTTTATTATTTTGTATCCTATTTACATCCGGGCCTTCTGAAGCTTTCCCTCCGTTTCATTACCTCTTAGCAATGACACCTTTGTACTGTTTGATGCTAGCGAGCCTACTTTTGCGATACCCCACTCCCCTGCGGCCCAGTACGAACCCCATTGGGATTTCCCATGAAAAGAGGCGCTGTTGAAACTAGGGCATTTAAAGTCTGTAAAGAATACACTCATAATAAACCTCCTTTATTTCTAAACATCTTGACTTCCATAGCTTCACTCCCACTATCAACTGAAATGTCGAAGCGTTGCTCGGCTCTGAGTGACCTTTGAGATTAAGACCCCCCCCTATGGGTTTCGCACAACGATGCTGTACCCTGGCTCCAAAGAAGTTAACTGCGTAGGAAACCGCGTAACGAATGATCTTGCAAAGCGAGGCGGGATTAGAGCAGCGATTTGTATTGGAGCAAAACACTTGCAGAGACAGCGACTACAACTTGGTGGTGGAGTTAGGTAGGAGCCAAAAACAATTGTGAGAATAGTAAGAATTCTCTGTTGGGCAGAGCCAGGCGTCGTGCGGAACCGAGTTGGCTACACTGACCAGAGCTAAGCAACAATGAAAGCGAACTCGAACATCGAAGTAAGCGTGGCGGATGACGCTAAAGCTGTAGATGGCTTGTCAAAAGCTAGTTGAGCGAGCTCCTTCTTATGTGGAACTAAAACAACAACTCTAGATTGAGAATTAGTGAGCGGCTTTGTTTGGTCTACTCTAAGCGAAAGTTCAGCGAATCGCTGTTGAGAGGAGTCCAGGGGATCGGTCGAAACAGGAGGAGGAGGAACAGAAGCATCACAAGCCATAAGTTAAGCGTTACCACGTCGAACAGAGGACCACGATCAGTAGGAACAAATCGTGAAGGCCCTGACCGTGAGGACGCTTCGGCGGCGAGCGCTGTATTCCGGAGCAGTGGTGCATTGGTACTCAAAGTGTTCAACTTCTTCACAGTTGTAGCAGACGTCGGAGATAAGAGAGGGGGGCAATGGGCGTTGACGGTTGGCCTGGAAATAGCGGCGTTGATTATTGCTTGCGAGACTATAAATACCCTGAAAACTATATCCACCGCTGACGCCACTCCGTCTCCCCTGGGGCTGGAGGAGCACCTGATTTCGGAATGAGGGAGGGGGTAGCTCCCTATCCAGTGTTGACGGATACCTCAGGCTGCCCAGGTCGAATAAGGTGGTCGGCAGTGGGTTCGCTAAGTAGCTGCTCAGCCATCTAGGGTTTGGTGACGACTTGCTCGAAAGTGGAGGGGTTATCTAATTTGACAAAGTAGCGGATGTCCCCCCCCCCGTGGACGGGCGACAAATTCTTCCAGTACGCGCTCCTTCTAGATGTGGACATCCTGTCCGGCAGTTGCTGCTCGAACTAAGTTTAGCGCCTTGTTAGCAAAGGAGGCTGTGGGTTCCCGGGCTCCTGCCTGCAAGAAGATAACTTCTGACGAGCAATATATCGCTGTTGCGGGCTTTCGATAAAGGCTTTGATAACTTCGGAGTACCTACAATTGATAACTTCGGAGTACCTACAATCTTCTTCGCTGAGCTCTTCGACTTTCTCGCAAGCTCAAAGTGACCAGTCAAGAAGTTGGTCTTTTGTTCGCTGGAGGGACGCATATAAATAATCTCGGAGAGCCTACGCAACCACATGGAAAACTGAGTCCCTTCCTCGGTGACCCCTGAAAAAGGGGATATTTGAAGGAGTCAGGTCCCAACATCTCGGTGGGGAGCAAGTCGAGACGGTTGCCTACCGCCAAGAAGGATTTGTTCAACTTGCGGGTCGAAGAAGTATTAGCCTCGTCGATCCGTTGCGCGAGGGTTGTAGTCTGGGATCTCACATCTCTCCAGACCTGAGCGATGGCCACCGACGCAGTGTCACTAAGCGCTTTGGCGTCCCTACCGTAAGGGAAGGGAGTATCATCCGCCTGTGCGAGCGAATCATCGAGAGGTGCAGTAAGCCCACCTGCATGCATAGTCTCGGGTGAAGGAGCAGGAGCTCCGATACTTACCGACTTCAAGTTCTGTGGAGGGGCAGGTGCCCCCACCAATGCAGGGGGGGGGGAGAGGAGAAGTCGATCCAGAAGATGTAACATCGCTAGGAACAGTAGGCATTTGGACCAACAGTGACGTTGGACCGCTGCCCTGGGTGAGAAGAATCCTCTCACCGGAGAGGTCAGGGGTCACGTGATACGTGTCATTTAAGAAAGCACTCAAGAAAGCTGAGATGGGGATGGGGAAGAAAGTTGAATTATGAATAATAACGAACAACATGAAACTGTTTTGCGAAGATAGGGGGCTGAGGATAGTAGTGGGAAATAATGAAAGTGTGGAATGCAAAAGGCATGCAAATGGTGTGAGAAGTGGTGTTAAGGAAGAGGAGATAGCGCGTGCAGATAAGGATTTGTGTCGAGGGTGCTACTTGAACCGTGTTGAAGTGTTGAACCGTACATCGCGCTTGATCTCAGGTGAGCACAACACAAGAAATTTATCGACCATAAGGTGCGCCACTGACAATGACTCAGTTATACAGAAAAATAACACTGCTGCTACAGGGATCAAAAGCGAAATGACGTCATAAAGCAAGGTTTCTTCTTCAGCGTTTGTCCCTCACTGTAGCAGGGTCCGCTTGCTTCATTTTGTCACGCCACTTCTCCCGATTGAATGCTTGATCGGGATGGGTGCCAAGCACCTTCAAGTCCGCATGCAAGTTGTCTGACCAGCGCTGCTTGGGTCGTCCTCTAGGCCGCTTGCGCGGGAACCTCGAGCTCAAGACCAATCCTACGGACAGTCCGCGCGAAGAACATGATCGTATCATCGAAGGCGACCTTCGCGCATTTTCTCGGCCACAGGAGCAATACCGAATCTCTTCCTTATGTCGTCATTGCGTATGCGATCCATACGCGTGACACCGGCGGTCCATCGCAACATTTTCATCTCCGTGACCCCTAGGCGCGCTTCAACTCCCTTGATCGTAGGCCAACATTCAGCACCATATATCGCGACTGGTCGAACGACGATCCCCTAGATCACCGCCATTTAGACCAGGCTGCACTCACATGTGCGCTCACTTCTGGGTCGAGACTACCGTCAGACGTAATTGTTGATCCGAGGTATTTGAACGTTGTCGTTTGTGTGAGCACGGTGTCGCTGACCCTAAGGGAACCAGACTCGTCCGGGTTAGTCGGAAAGTACTCGGGTTTTTTTGGCGTTCAATCTGAGCCTGAAGTTCGCTCATCGTTCAGTTCAAGCTTGCACTTTTCCCACGAGACCATTTTTATTCTCGCACGCGAGCATCACATCGTCAGCGTAGAGACGCGTCCAGGAAGACGGCTTTTGGAGGTCCCGTGAGATGGCGCTCATGACGACAATGAAGAGCAGCGGGGAAAGCGCCGAGCCTCAGTGCACCCCAACTGTGATGGGGAACCCCATCGAAGTACCTGCTGGACTCCGCACTCGACCCTTTATGCTGAAGTACAGGATGCTTACCCACTCAATCAGCTCTTCGGGAACGCCGTGCTGCCGTAAGGCATATCATATAACTTCACGTGGGACACGGTCGAATGCCTTCTCCAGATCAATTAAGGCTAGGTGGACATGCTTCTTCTTCTCACGATGTTTCTCCAACAAGAGGCGAGCGGCATGTATGGCGTCGATGGTGCTACAGCCTGTCACGGAGCCACACTGGTTGGTAGAGAGCTGGACGATATCGCCAAGACGCTTATCAACAATTGGCTCAAAAATTTTATGCTGTGCCAGAGCAAGCGAACTGGACGATAATTTGAGCAGTTTGCAGGACTGCCTTTTTTCTTTGATCTCGGTACCGTTGTGCTCTCTTGCCATACTTCGGGCATTTTCTTCTCTGTAACGACCTTATTGGAGAACATTGTCAGCCATTCGGCAGCATGCCAGCAGTGTGACTTCCATACTTCGACCGTCACGTCGTCAGGACCCGTTGCCTTGCCTGGCTTCATCTTCTTGAGAGCCGCCTACATTTCCTGCACGCTTATCTTCTGAACGGAACCGTGTGTTGGTAAGGCGCAGGGGATGGGCGGGTATTCCGCTGTGAAAATTTCTCCGAAGTGGTCGCGCCGTCGCTGCAGCACCCTTAGTCGGTCCATCAAAAGGCGGCCCTCCTCGTCATTGGTGCCGGAGAACTTCTCTACATCTTCGGCCTGGTGGTGACGAGCCTTGCCGAGTTGGCACATGTGCCGCTCGCCATCTCGCGTTTCCAGCTTCTTGATTTCTTCGAAGTGAGCGGCTTTTGTAGCAGCCACAGCCTTCTTTGCCGTACTTCTCGCTTCCTGATACTTCCGCCAGTTGTCAGCTGACTTGTCGTTGAGGAACACGTGATAGCGCTTCTCTTTTCTCACGAACCTTTAGCCTTACGTCATTTGTCCACAGCAATGCTGCTTTTCTCTACGCCTTCCAGGTTTCGTTGTGCCAAGTGCGGAGCGAGGGACCTAAACTAACGCTTTGGCGGCATTCTTCCATGTTTTCACCAGCTGTGACAGTTGGTAATCGAATGCGAGAGATCACAGCTGCCTCCTTCTCCTTCAAACGCCACCATTTTATTCTCTCAGGTCCACATCGCTCTATCTCTTTCTACCTGGGCGGTGTTATCTTCAGCGTACAGATAAGCGGGCGCTGTTGCAAGGCTACCGTCTCATACGGCACGGTCGTCGCGTCTGCCACAAGTCCTTGATCGCGATGCCTGACAAGAGCAGAGTCTACTTGTGTCCTGGTGTTCCCGCTGTAAAAGGTAATCAGATGGGAGTCGCGTTTACGGAACTTTGTTTTCACGATTTCGAGATCATGGGCTTCTGCTTCTGGACTATTCCAGGAGCGTTCCCCATCGACGTTAAGTGTTCCATAACCGAAGCCACCATGACAACTCTAACCGTTTTTCGTTGCGCCTACGTGCCCGTCAAAGTCACCAGCGACAATTACGACTTCTCCTGACGGCACCTCAGCTGTCTTCTCCTCAAGCAGAATCCAGAACTCGTCCTTTGATTGGTCAGAGCATCCCGTTTGTGCATATGCCGGAAAAAAGTGGTACAGTCGTTGCTCGACAGCTAGAACAATCTTCATCAAACGATCGTCGAAACGTTCCACGCTAGCTATCGAGTCATGCAAACGTTGAGAGACGATTATGTCTACTCCGTTAGTAGTCCTCGGCTTGCCACAAAGAACGGCTTTGAAGCGGCGACCGTTGTCTCTCGACTTGCAACTGGACCATCTTGTTTCCTGCACTGCACAGAGATCGATTCATCTGCGCTCTAGTGCCTCTGCCTATTCACATCAACGTCCGGTCAAGGTTCCTACGTTTAACGTTGCAACACGGACTTTACACGCTACACTGATTGAAATTTGGACTAGATGGTCACCCCCCGATGCCGTCCTTGCACCGAGGTCCCTCGCATACTTTCCACACTTGCCGGGCCATACGAGTGCGCGTGGGCTCCCGCGGACGCAGTAGCACTATCGCGATATACATATGGCATGATCAAACATGATGATGTGACATGAGTGTTCGTAGGCCTGCCCGTCACGAAGGCCTGTCACCTGCATTCGTGTGTCTGCGTTTAGCAACTCGCGAAGCGAGCAGTACCCAGTGGCACGGCGGGGAGGAGCAGACGTTACCACCACGTCATAGAACAAGGTTAACTGCCTGAACATCTAATTGCGCCGTAGGATTCCTCGAAGTCATGAAACTGCTACTCATTCATTCTTGGCTCAGAAGGCCTCAAATAACTGCACATTATCCTCACTTGCAGGCGCCGTATAACCCACTAGGGTTGGCTGCTCAT